CTCCAAAGAAAATGAGGCAGTGAGGAAGGACACCTCAAAAGTCGAAAAAGCAGGGAGCAACAGAAGGGTAGGGGATGGAAGGATGAGTGCAGATGTGTTATGCACGTGTACCAACGCCCAGTGATAAATGCATTCGTGCACTGCAAACGTGTACTAAAAAAAAGTAAATAAACACAGGGCAGCTACAGAGTGACTGCAGAAGTGCTTACCGGGCACAGGACACCCTCAGGCTCGAAGCTCCCTCCCCAACTTCCCTCCTCGGAGGTGATTGTGACAAGCTGGTGAAATCCTAGACGAGCATGCGTCCCATTTCTGATGTCACTGTGGCCCACCACAGATGAGGTTTCACATCTTGAGTTCTTCACTTGACGGCGTGTTCTGCCTGCTGCATGGTGTTTCACTGCAGGGGTACAGCATCACTCCAGAGCAGTCTTCTACCATTGAACACTTAGGTTCTTCCCCTTCTTTTGTCACAAACGATGCCACTATGATCATCTGTATTCCTTTTCTCACCTGCTGCACCAAAGTGCCACAGATGGAGTCTTCCATGTGTCTGTCACCACTCACCTTTCTCTTCGTGGGTCCACCTTTCTTCTTGTTGAAGGACACCAGTCTTTGAGTCATGGCCCACCATAACCCAGAATGACTGCATCTTAAGTTGCTGTATCTGCAAAGACCTTATTTTCAAATAAGGTCATACTTTGAGGTCCTACTGGACAGATATTGGGGAGCATGATTTTATTGGGTGCACTGTCCTTGCACATTCTTCTTTGTGCCTGTGTCAGATGTATCTACTCAACACACCCAGCACGTTGTCTGAGCTACCTGCTGCATCAGAGTGGGTGTCTGTTATCAAATTTGGCTGATACCATGGAACTGTCTTCTGCCCTCTTCAGGCCAGCAGAGGAACCTTCCCATATCTCATTAGCCAAATTACATCTTTAATCCTTTGAGTTTTTGCCAATCTGATAGGCAGAAAATACTGCTTGATTCCAAACTTCCTGTTAGTAAATACCAAAATCATCCTTGTGTCTTCTGGATCAGAAATTCCATCCCCAGGAGAGCATCTAGAAAGAGTCATTATGAAAGGTGGCAAGCTGTATGTTATTTCACTGTCTGCAGTCTTAAAATATGGAAGCAACCTGAAGATATTTTAGGGGATTATTTACGGCACATTTAGAGGATGGAATTCTTTACAGCCACTAAAATTATAGAGGACATTATTTTTAACCTGAGCTTATTAAATTTTGTGGACATGTCTGGTGACATCTTCTTTACATCTTTTTGCATGGCCTGAAGTCTTTCATAATTTAGTATGTGTTAGTTTAATTGTGCATTTTAATTTTCTAATCACCTCAATTATAAACAAATGCAGAATATGGAATTGAAAATAAAAATCTGTGACCAATCTCCAAGTCAGTTCCTTTTCCAAAACCACTGCCAGTTAATTGACAACATTCACATCTTGCCATATCATCACCTGCTTTAATTCTTACTTTCTTACCCAAGTCACATTCAAGATTTTTACATACTACAAAAATACGTGAATTTAAAAATAAAACTTCCCCTTCTCTCCTTGGCCCTAAATCTTGCTCTCAGATATGATCACCACTTATGAAGACAGTTTGTGATTTAACATTTTATGCAATTTTTAAAAGGCATATGAAAGGATGTACGAAGGATAGTGTACTGAACTCCAAAGTGCTTATGACTCAGATCTGATAGTTGTTGATATTTATCCTTTTTTTTTTATTGTGCTGAAGTGTCTTCAAGCAGATCTCAGGCTTCTAGACATTTCATTTCTAGTTACTTTACTGAATCTCAGCTACTCAAGGAGACCTTCCACAACGACCCTGATCCTACCCAATAAGATTAATCACCAACATGGAACAGTACCCAACACTCGGACCATATGTGATTTTTCCGCATCTTTTATAGCTGATTTTTGCAATTATTTCTGCAAAAGCTCCATCTGCATTTCTCCTCTCTACTTCTGTTAGAATTAGTCATATAAAGCCAAGAGCTGGATAAGTAAATCTTTCAAACTAGCTAATACCTTGATAAAAATTTTTAAGTTTTCATGTTCTATGAGGAAATAGTCTACAGAGTCCCTTGTAAACATTTTATTCTGAAATAATTTTAAATGTACACAAAAGTTGTAGAAATAGACCACAGTGCTTTCACTTGACCTTACATCCAATTCCCTTTCTGCACTGTAAGTTGCAGACATTATGGTCCCTAGCTCCGTAATAGTCTAATGTGTATTTCCTACATACAGAGGGACTCTGCAAAGTAACCACAGGATAACCATGAAACTCTGGATATTAATACTGATCTATTGTTAACATATGATCCTCAGATGCCAAATTTCCCCCTTATATTTTAAAATTACTAGTACTAAATTTCTTCAAAAGAAAAATAAACCACACAAATGCCTCCGCCTCTGTATAACCCCCTAAAATTTGAGTCCCTTGTGTAGAGTTGATAGGCTGTTAACTTTCAGCTATTTTTCTGTTTAACACACAAAAGGCTATACATATTTCATAATTTCCCTTTTTTATTTCAGTCTTAACTGGCTCTTACAATTTTTTTGGGGGGGGAGCTCTTTCTGTGTCAATGAATAATCCCGGTTTTCTTGTTGTTACTGTTGTTTTTATTTTTGGGAGACAATTTCTAGCTATGTAGTTCAGGCTGTCCTTGAACTATGTGTCCCAGGGTAGCCTTGAACTCATAGTGATCCTCCTGCCTCAGCCTCCCAAGTGCTGGGATTATAGGTACGTGACACCCACACCTAGCTGAGTAATGATCTTACCCTTAAAAATTACTTGTATTGGCCTCTCAAAAAAGAAAAAAGATTCCACAGCACAGGCACTCTAGTGTGCATGGACATACGAAGATTCATCTATTACTATGATTATTGCTTGAATGTGGCCTCCATTAATCCTCCCCATCCATGCAACTATGTACTTTCCTACAATTGCTTAGCATGGTGGCTGCAGATGTGGAAAGCATATTAGATGCTACAAATAGTTCTTCCACATCGCCCCTAGCAAAGCTTTTACTGGTCAGTTCTGGTGAGGCAAGAGAAGATACGCATTGCCATAGTCTCAGTGCTAGATGCTGTCCCCTTCTTTATAAAGCAAATGTGATGGGTTAGAAATGGTAGTTTGTGTTTTCCAATATTCTCCATTGTCAAAGATAATCATAAATTTGATTTTGAGGAATTTGAAAGGTATTGATAGTTTTTTTTTAATCATAGTGGCAGCTATATTATATACTTAATGGAATAAATTTGTATCTGTCTTATTTCTTTTTTTTTTTTATTTTTCTGAAGCTGGCACTCAACTCGCAGTTCTAAGACCACACTCTGTGTTATTTCATTACTCACACATCAGAAATTAATGACCCCTATCTGTGTGCCAAGTAGGCATCTGTTTAGATGCTGGGGAGACAGCAGTAAAGTCTTTGTTCTCATGGAGCTGACACCCCACCCTAAGACAGGTAACAGATGAATAATTATTTTGATGTCTGCACAGGTAAATTGACAAGACGTAATCTAATGTATTTATTATTATACTGATTCAGTGACTGTGCAGGAAAGGGAAACATAAATGGAGGGCAAGAAAGTAAACATCTTTTGAATCAAGAGTGGCAGGTACATGAGTATTCCTCATGCTGTTTTCTCTACTTGGCTGTTTGCTGAAAATCTCTAAAAAAATAAAAATTACTAGAGGCACACTGGTGGATATTAGATTGGGAGACCCTCCCTTCTTTAGGGGGTCTGTACTTCCAAGTTTCCAGGCTTAATTACCACCAGCCACCACCACCCCAGCCCCAGCACACTATGAAATCAATTGTTATCAAGTCAAATTTGATAACAGTTGTCTGAAAGGAAAGCCATTCTTGATTAAGAATCCATGTAGTGTGATCTAGGCTGAGTGTGAAATATTGATATTGGGAAATTAGCTAATTTTCTTACGTCTGCCAGCCTCAAGATTTTTTTTAAACACCTTGCCCCATTTCATTTGAAAGATACGTATGAACTATTTATTGTTTACTTTAAAGTAATTGAACAGTATAGTCAATGAAATTGACAAAAGTTAAGCTAGGTGAATGAGAATGTGCGTGTTATTTATTTCCACTTTGTGGAACAGTTAAAAGTGTCTTTCAATAATAAAAGGCTTAAATATTTACTTCTTTTTCAAAAAGCTACTGCTATCATCATTTAGTTATCGTAATGGTCGAATCCTCCCTCCCTTCTGTCCCTGGAGGGGAAGAAGGTTCACACCTGCCCTCACTACCTTCACCCTCCTGCACGGCTTCGGATGACTCTTCAGTCAAACGCTCCAGGTTCCCCTCCATTTTTTAACGCTGGGCTTGCTCTTGTGCCTTGGACGCTGATTGGTTAAAAACGAAACAAACAAACAAAAAAAAACACCCAGAAGAGTGATAGTGCGCATGCGTGCTGAACCGCTTCATGCGATTAGCTCACCCGGAACTGGATATCTCCTGAGCACGCGCAGAACGTTTGCGCACGATCCTCACCCTTGACAGCACGCATGCGTATATGCACGAGGCCATAACTGGTTTTAGACAAACAAGGGCAGTACTGGGGTATCGGGCAATTGGAGAGTGAGGTTGTGCATACATTTTGTTGCAGGTGCCAGGGTCTGGGACACATGTGCTTAGGATGTGTAGTGGTACGTGAGTTCGAATCCCTTTCCATTTCCAAATCGTCCTTAAAGAGCCATGCAGAGCTACCTTTGTTTCATGGATAAGTAAGATAAGCTTTAGAAGCTAATTACACCTCCTTTCTTAGCCACTGTGTGAGACCTTAGGCACTGTGTATCTTGTGTTACACAGGTGGATACTGGAAGGTACCTTCTCATTAATACTAGGAGCAGCAAACATTGTTACGGCTCATTTTTGGGGGCAGGGCTCAGATAAAGGGAAAAGGAATATTTTTGTGGGACTTAGTTTTAGAGCTTTTATGTACAAGATTTTTTTTTTTCCCCCTAAATAGCCTCAGGCTGGTTACGGGCATAGGCTGACCCTGCATTCCCAATTCTTGAGCCCCTGTGGGCCACTCCTGAGACCTGCCAGTTCCTGCACATTCAGGGCTCAGTCCAATGAGAAAGACACTTCTGAAGCAGTTTAGAGGGGACAGCTCCTGAGAAAGGAAGGTGAGGAGGTGAGACAGAGGGAGCAGGGAAGGACACAAGGGAACTAGAAGGGCACACTGTGTCCCTGGCCACTGCTGCCCATCTCCCATTTGTGGGCAGCTCTCCTATCTTGCCCAGCTTCTCAGGGAGACATGTGCCAGCCACAGACAGATTCCCACTACATTTCCAGGGTGGAGACAGAAGGCAAAGGCTCAGGCGGTCACTCCCAGAAAGTCCGAGCGAGCTCTACCATTCAGAGTCCAGGGAATAAGCCATTGTGGGGAGCCTGGTCCACAGAGGTGGCTGGGGGTGTAGAGTACTTGGGTGGGCAACGGATGAACAGTCGGTCCTCCTCTTTCTTCACCCAGCGCAGGAGTTTGGTCACTACCAAAATGGCTCCTGCTTTGGTCACCAGGGGGCTGAGGCAGGTATACAGCTCGAATTTGGAGGTCACCTAGGTGTTTAGGAAAAGCCAGAGTCAGGATAGAGCTGTCCACCCCAACCCAACTCCAAGTTTGCCTCCTGAAGCTTGGAAGATGTCCCTGGCAGCAGTGCCCACCTGGTGCTGCTTCAACACTAGGCTATGACAGATAAGATGATATTTTTGGGTCACTGATGGGCAGGGCCAGGGGTTCTTAGTTGGGCCTAGAGGTTAGCTGAACCCACTGGCTTTAACTGGTAATATAGGCTATGGCTTCTTTGGACCCTCAGTTTATCTGTGGACTGGGGACAATAATAACAATAATGCTTAAAGTTCAGTAAGCGATCACAATGGTGCCTCAGTTCACGAACTTAACTTTTTCCATGACTCTAGATGCAAACTCAAATGGATGAGAACCAAGTCAAATTTCCCTGTAAGGTCAACAATGAACTTAACCACTGAATTTGATTCGGTTCTCATCCAAATTGGTTTGTGACCAGAATTATGGCAAAAATTAAGGTCATGAACTGAGCCACCACTGTATTGTACAAAAAAGGCCTACTCTGACTTCCACACGACTACTTTTATCATTCATGACTTGGGCATAATATAAAGAACTCAATTTAATCCTTGCACCAACCTAAGAGACGTGACCCCACCCTGGTCACAAGTCATTTTCTGGCCTACTTTCCACTGCTCTCTCTTTGGCTCCCTCTGTGCTTTCCTTGCTGTTCCTTCCTTAAGCACAGATTGGCTCAGCCCCACCTCACTGTATCTGCAGAGTCTTTTCCTACTGCACCCACATGACTCACTACCTCTTCATTTAGACACTACCTCAGGAAGGCCTCAACTGACCACTTGGTTCCCAATCCCGGGCCTACTGCATCTTGCTTTTTAAATGCCAGTCTCCACAAAAAGGCACAAAGACTCCCTGGAAAAATGGCTGAATCCAACACCAACATGGAGAAAGTCCAGTAAGCGGCATTTATAAAATGATGGCATGTGGCAGGTACACAGTGACCAGCCTGGCTAAAAGTCTCCTGCTGGCTCTATCGGAGACAAATGCAGAACCAAAATAAATGTGAGAAAAACATTTTAGCCCACTGAATTAAAGAGAAACCCACAATACCATTACTTGCATAAAATCAAAACTTCAACAAATAAGTGGAAGGAAAAGATCTTCCTTATGCTAGAGTCTTAATAAATGTAGAAAGAATGGAGATGGCGACGGAGACAGAAAATGCACTATTGGGCAAAGACCGGACTAACAACTATTCTAAGTTAAAATCAACGGGTATTAAAACGAGTGGGTGGCAGTGGGACGATGCCCAGGACACCGACTGATGTCATAACCACAGGGACTTTAAGTGAGCAAGGCTGACGCCATCAACGGCGGGACAGACTGACGTCGTGTGCCTTGATATGGAGCATGTCACTGCTATGAGATGCTTGCCCAAAACGCAATGACCTCAATCAGGATATAACATTGAAAAGGCAAAAACAAGGGGCATTCTACAAGCTAATCCAGTTTCTTCAAAAGTGCCCAAACTATGAGACAAAGAAAACAAAAACCCAAAAAAAGACAACACAACAAAACAACAAAAACTGGTGAACTGTCCCAGAGTAAGACCAGAAACACAATAAATCAATTTATCATGTGATCTGGGACTGGATTCCGGACTAGTCAAGGGACATACATAGGATAACTGCTGAAACCCGAATGAAGCCTATGACCTAGATGGTACTGAACCAGCTTATAACTTTCTTGTTTTGGTACATTAACGTGGTTTTATAAGATGTTAACTTTTGGAGAAACTAGGTGAAGGGATTCTTCGAGGGAAGTCTTTATACTATTTTTGCAACTTTTAGGTCTAAAATTACTTTAAAATTAAAATTTAGAATAATATAAAACAAATCCTCAGCCCAGAGTAACTCCTGACACAGAACAGATACACAATAAATTATTATATTATTATTATTATTCTTCTTGGTACTGGGGATCGCACTTGGGTCCCTGTGCTTGTAAGGCAGGTGGCGGAACCACTGAGCTAAATCCACGCCCCACAATAAATTATTTAATAAAAAAGTCGCAGAGCCTGAGAAAGGTGCCATTTCTGATGACGTCATCTTGATTGGCCTCCTAGCTGACCTTTACAGACCCACAGGAAGTGAGGCTGGAGCCCAGGGAAGGACAACCCCAGAGAGGGCACAGCCAGGACGAAGCCTGTAGCATCTATGGAGTGCTGGAGACTGATGGAAGCAAAACTGCACTGGTGGGAAGCAGGGAATTGGCAGGCAGTGATTATTGTTAGTGTGGTCTCTTGAAAGTCAAAGACACAGTACTGGCTGCTAATGGAGGAAGAACAAGCAGCACTATGTGACGGCAGGGATAGAGTTGTAGGCAACTGGACAGAGGTGCCAGGCATGGCCCAGGCAGGTGTTTGGGGAAGGCTGCTGAGATTGGAGGGGCCACATTTAGGGAAAAGAGGCTTGAGGGGGGAATTAATTCACCCCAAGCCCTATCTGACTCACCCAGGCCAGCAGCGTCTCCTTCTCAGCCACGTGGTAGATGAGGCGCAGGGGTCTGGAGGTGCTGTGAAGGCGAGCATGCAGGCGGTGGTACAGGTCCGACAGCCGCTGCCGCTCCTCCTCTCTGCTGTACGGTGCCTCTAGCTCAGGGCTGTCCCGACGAAGGGAGGTGGAGGGCAGGGTTAGTGAAGGGCCTACTGGGCTGGCCCATCTCTCTTGTCTAGGGATTTTAATTAAGTGACAGCTGAGCCTTTCCTATTAAACCTGCAGATGCTTAGTGACTATAACTAAGCTTTCCTCCATCAAAGTAAGGGACTTTCTAAGTATGGCCCTTCTCTCCACTAAAACAGTGACTCCTTGGGTTGGTGGCTGAGCCCTTGTCATCAGAGAATTGTGCTATTTGTTCTTTCCAGAACGTGGCTGGGATCTCTTCTACATCACAGCTACAAGATGCTGAACTTCCTGGTTACAAAAGCCCTCCTACTGGGGTAACTGCCCACAGGGTCTGGGCCTACCTGGTGAACTGGGGCAGCTGGCGGTGATGGTCAGGGATGTCCAGTGGCTTATACAGGAAGTGCCGGAGGCCAGGTGCCCCCACAGCCTGCACACTGTAGGCAGGGGCACTGACTGCCTGTGCACTGGAGAAGTTGGCCGCCTCCCCCAGGGCGCGCAGGGCACCAAGAGTGCGCATCCCATCTTCCACCAGGCGCCGGCAGGCGGCCATGGCATGGAAGGCTTCTCGGTGGGTGCCAAGCAGCAGCAGGCAGACAGGCATGGAGTCCAGGCGGGCCACGTAGGCGTAGAAGAAACCATCAGGGTTGAAGCGGGGCAGGCACACGGGTGCCCATGCCTCGCCGGCTGCGAAGGCTGGTGCCCCCATCCAGTCAAGCAGCAGCTGCAGGTCAGCTGGGTCCAGTCGGCACTCGGCCAGCACGTTCCGCTCCTGGGCTGCTGTGATCAGTCGGCCGCCAACTG